AAGTAAAGTAAAAATATCAGAAAAATCTACTTGAGTACAGTAACGAATTATTTGTACTTCATTACTTCCCATCTCTGACTGTTAGATCAATACAGTTCTAACAGCATAACTCCATTTTCTTTCTTATGCCTTGGTGACATGATAGCTCACATAATTATCTGATAGTTACAGCTGACTGAAATATTGTTCAGGCGAGAAAATGGCAACAATTTTTGTTCTCTAAAAGTGACAGCAGGTGACATTTGCTTCAAGAAAGGGAGTGATGGCCTAGTGGTTAGAACAGTGCGCATGTGCTCCTAGAAGGTTGCAAGTACCCAATTTGATCCCCACAGACTGCCACTTTGGGTCTCCAAGCAAGACCCATAACCCCACACTGCTCACTGGGTGCCACACAATGGCAGCCCACTGCTCTCCAATGGGTTAATGCAGAGGTAAATTTCTCCAGTGTGAGATGAATTATGTCCAATTATTATTCTTAATAAAAACATCTTCACTTTCTTAAAGCAGGGGATCCTTCTGACTTAGAAAAAATTGTTTCTTGCCAATGACAAGGAAATCAAAACCACGTGTATTAAGTCTAGAAATACTTTTCAAAAACCTTAAGTGCATTAAAGAGAAAGAAAATTCCCATCTGACATATTTTTATAAAGTTAATAAAAAAGGGAAAATATAACTTCAGACAAAAGGAGTCCTGACCAATCAATGTTCCAAGTTTATTTTCAAGCATACATTACTCTTTTTGAATAGTCAAATAAAACCCAAGCAGTAAGAAATCTTTAAGCATTCATTCGCTGTGTAAAATTACAACATATCTTCTACATTAATTTTAATAGTCATCATATTAAGGTCATGGGGTTAAATCCAGTTCCCACTTTGAAGATCTTCACCATGAAAACTCATGTGCTGCCTAGCGTAGATATAAGATAACAAATAATAAGCTAATGAGGTCCAACTACATTGCAGCAGTATCTTTGTTCTGATGATCCATCATGCAGGGCCCTGTTTTTATTTTTGAAGCGGGTGGCATTAGATCAGCTAAGAGTCAGACCACTTGGATCTCGTGATAAATAGCTGGAGTGGCTGCCGGCTCTGGATGAGATCCAGGTTTTCGTCTTTTGATGAAAATAATACCCTTGAAGGAGAGCTGGAGGAGTGGTCTGAGTTCTAGGATAAATGAGTGGGTGGATGCAAGAGTGCATACGCTCTTTAAGTAATGTCCTCCAGGATGTAAAAGATGAGCTCCATCACTAAAGGCTGTTCACCTCTCTTGTGGCCCCTGCTGTGGATGACTGGAATCAGAACGTTATCCAGGGAATTGAGGTACTGAGCTGGGAGAGGCTGCCCATTGCTCCCAGCAACAAATCCCACCTGGAATCATAAAAACAAACAAAGCTGCTGATTAATTTTAGTGCAGTCACAAAGGAGATTATACAATACACCATCTTCTAAGCAGAAGGTAAAAGGCTGCATCCTTTTTCCTTTTATTTTAGGCAAAAGAAAAAAGATTTGGGTATTTTATATTAGCATTTTACAAAAGCACCATTGGCTTACCCCCTAGTAAACCATTAATAATGAATGTAACTGAGGCTTTTGTATTCATTTATCATTTTGAAGCTTAGAGTTAGTGGAAACCTAATTGTTAATCCATTACTTCCTGTTTCCCTGACTGTAAATGATGCAATATAGATAAATTACTTTTAGTTTTTTAAGGACTCATCTATTCAACACGTACAGTGAGCATAATGGTAGGGTGGTGCAAATATTCCCCCAAATTCTCCAGCAAACAGGGGAATCCTTGAGCCACCATGTCTCTTTGTCCATTAGATACTTGCAACATGCCATGAGAAAAGCCTTTTGTGTCTTATCTTCACAAACAGATAGCTGTAGAGATTAGTCATCTGTTCTGGGATGAACTGGAACTGTGTGCTTCAGCTGGGGTAAGAGCATTTCAGCCTGGAATACTGAATTTGCTACTACTGTACACACACGTGGTTTTACCGGACTTCTCCCTAGACACGCCTCTGTTTACATATTCCAGTAGATGTAAATAAGCCCTGCACGTGTGATCCTGCCTGCTGCACGGTCAAAAATGATGACGTCTCACGCGGAAACAATGTGAGCAGTGAGTTGGAGAAGCTCACAGAAGCAAAGGCTCAGAGATTTCTAAAAAGCTAAATCGGATTAATTAAAGAATGTTCACCGTTAACATGGATCACACAAACTTATTACTAATAGTGTGTTAGAAATGCAGAAGTGTGCCAATGAAAATGTGAAGCTGCAATATTTAAATAAACACAAAGTCATACCACTTAATGGATATTTCAAATCCCAATAAATAATGTGGGGTCTGCTGAGGAGAAGGGAGCATGTGAGAAGGTCAAAGAGCCCCATCCCTTTGTGTTATTGGAGAGGACTGTTTTTCTTTGGGTACTCTGTCTTCTATTTACTGAAAGCAAGCATATCAACTGCTCTATCATCTTCCGTGCTAAATTGGTTTGAAAATTAAAACTGAGGGAAGTTGTGCAAAGTTGTGTGTGACCACCATCAAGATTGAATTCGTTTTTTTTTTTCTTTTTACAAATCTTTATCAAGCCTGGCAAAACATTTGTCCACATCTGTATTTCGCAATGGATTTAAATCTGCCACGAGTAAAACATCAAAACAGCACATTTGTTAGTTTCTGACCTCATGAGAATTGAAAGTGACCCGCAGCCCCAGTTTGGCCATGCCGTCCTCCTTTAGCAGCTTCAGGTGAGGACACAGGGCCAGGCAAAACGCCCGGGCGATGCGCTCCGTCAGCCGGCTCTGCTCTGCGGAGTCGGTCACTCCTCTCTTGGGATTGTGGCCTCCTACCAGGAAGAACACCTGCACAGCGAGGGGTTTACATACAATAAGACATCTGCAGATTAAAAGTCAACATCCATATTTGTTTTTTTTTTTAGAAGGCAATCAGATGTACTTCTGTCCAGCGAATGATCTTCCCATTTTCTTTGTGTTCAGACTTTTGAAACATCTTCGTACTATTGATGGACTCCATGGATTTCCCATCGATGGGGCTTATGACCCTGCATGTTAAAATAATTGCTTAGGTCAGAACACATGGAAACCATCCGTCCCTTTGAATCCTGAATTGTTGTTACAGGAAAGTGAGTGTTTATGTCAGTTTATAACTCTGTTTTGACTTGTATTGTTCTGAGGACTGAACTCAGCTTCAAACAGGTGGAAGCACCAACCCCTTATTCACAGTGCACTTCTCCTCCACCCACTGTAAACAAACAAGTTCCCGGCTCTCTGGTTGGTCCAGCCGCCCACATGTGACGGTGTAGTCTTTCATCTCCCGGAGCGACCGGCGGATCTCCGCCATGGTCTCCACGGTGACCTGAACCATAAGCCCATCTAAGGAGAAGGGGAACAGCGATACAAGAAAAACACACAAACAGACACGAGTAGGGGGACATACACAGGTACACATGGATCAACAGGTAACAGCACAGTCTTGACAAACACACAGAAACTCCTGTTTGTTAAACTGTCCAGAAAAACACAAATAAAATAATATTCTGAATATACTAGTCCAGAGGAAAGGATGTTGGATGAGAAATTTCTAGACAGCAGGTAAAATTTCAAATGTTTGTGTTTTCTGACTTATATCACCAGATATCCTACCCTCTACGATGCTAGACTTGGCCAGGCATCCAGAGGAAGCTTTTAGGGCACTGCTGAATATAAAAAAGCATGATCCAGTGACTAGAAAGAGAAAAAGACAAAGAAGGAAAAGGGAAAAAGTTATAATTAGCTTCAGAGCATTCTTTGCCCCCTGGTGTTCCAAAGCTGAAACAACAGTCTGAAGTTTTTGTTGAATGTGTGTTTAAAAATGGCTTTATAACATTTTTTTTTTACGAAAGAAATAATAGCTACAAATGGTACAACTACTTAAATTAAATAATAACTAAAAACAACAATGGGGTTACTTTGTGTTTTTCCCACATACTAAAAAGTCTAAGAGCAATTGGTCTCTCTAAATTGCTCTTAGTTGGTTTGTGCATGGTTAGTCTTGGGTGTATCAATGTTGTCCTGTGGCGGACTAAGGATAGAGTGAACTTTAATTCATGATGCTTCATCCAGCAGGTAATTTATTTTCAATTTGCAACCAATAAGGACTAAAGACAGGAAGATAGGACAGCTTTAGTCTGTGAAAGATAAGGGATACGTGCTTGGAAATGTATATATATAAACAAAGCTAAGCCATCCTCTAAAGCAGGGGTCACCAACCTTTTTAAGGCTGAGGGCTACTTCATGGCTACCGAGTCATAGGAAGGGCTACCAATACTGACCTATGAACTGGAGGGATCACTGTTCACCTACAGTAAATCTCATCCATAAAAAGTCATTTTTATTCTTATTTTATTCTTTTATTCATTTCTAATTTTCTTTTTAATATTGTCATTTTGAAACCACTGAAATATAATGAAATAGTTAACATGATGAAATAATACATAAATGATTAAAAAGAAGAGGAACAGAATAAAAAAAATTTTAACTTAACCCACTAAGTGAGTTCTTCTATTTTCAGAAGACGAAGAGGGCACCCCATGTGGTCCTTGAGGGCCCCTTGTGCCCGTGGGCAGGGGGGGATTTACCATTGGGCAAAACTAGGCAGTTGCCTAGGGCCCCAAGTTCCTGGGGGCCCCATAAAACTCTGTTTACATTTATGGTTAATACAACTATTCCTTATTTGTGCACATTAATTATGTTTTTGATAAAAATCCTCTGGCTAAAATGCCATCAGAACACTGATAAATAGAGAGGAAAAAGGGACAAGAAGAGAGGGACAAACCCTAGAACAGATAATGGATGTCTATTCTATGAACATTTCTCTATCTGTAGAATGGGTCTGTTTTATGTCTTGTCTTCTCAGAGGGCCCCCTGCCTGTCTTTGCCTAGGGCCCCAAATTTCCTAAATCCGCCCCTGCCTGCGGGCACCGTGACCCCTGCTCTAAAGAGTTCATAGCTACAACTGAAGGATATCCTCTGCTTTTGCCTTTCATGCTAAAAAATACGGAAGGATATACAACATAAATATGTTCCCCTTAATAAATCATGAATTAACTGAGTTGGTCATGGTATTGTTGATGATAGATGTTTGTCAAATGAACTAGCGAAGAAAAACCTTTCGAAGAAGCCATTAATTTATCATTGACCAATGTCACACAGCATTGAAAATGCATAACCATTTTCAATGCTGGTCACACATAACCGAAAAAAAAAAAACATAAATAAAGGCAAAAAAATCACAGAAATTAAGAGAATAAAAAAAATTAAAAGAAGAACTTATCACAAAGTTCTGACTGTGTTGACGGCATCACATTGGTTTATGTGTGATCTGATACCTTTCCGAGGCTGGTTGTGGATGCTGATTGCCTGGGTTTGGTACTGGCCATCGTCAGTTTGCACACAGATGAGGTGGGAATCTGCTGCCTCATTGAAGGATGCCCCTATTGCCAGCACATGCTCATTGGACTTATTTATGGCCTTCATTAACTAAAACAAGTAGACAGAAAAAGCACACATTTACCAAATAAGCCATAATAAGATTGGATTTCCCTTTAAGGCTCTGTCTGTATACCTCATTATACCCGCTAGTCGGTATGTTTATAAGAGTCTTCTGAGCCTCTAGATCCACAGTGAGCCCCGGTATTAATGGTAAGCTGTAACGATAGTTCCTAAAGTCCTAAAAAACAGGAAGCATGAAGAGGTCAGTGTCTGGGTTGGGAAGTTTTGTACAGATTATGACACCAAACTTCCCTCTGATGCTGGTAATTGTGGTGTTGTAAGCAGTGAGAGCTAGCGCAACACTTTATACTCACAACTAACAGTCTCATTATGGTGTGACCTATTTCCCCAAACAGGGGCTTTCTGAGCCGCACGCTGTACAGAGGACACGGGTAAACTGGACAAACAGAAATAATGTGATTGACTCGGAAGGAAACTGATTACATTACAGCTGGAAGATGTCACTGAGTGGCTCTGCTTACATCTATACTCTGCACCTAGTCTCAGCATGAGGCGCAGGGGGAAGGCTTTAGCCCAGGGCACCTCTGCTCTGTGGACCAACAGACCAAAGAGGTAGGGCTGGTTGGGCAGAGGTAGACCCTGAAGGGATTGGAGAGTGGAGCGAACGTACAGGAATCCTGCATGCTCCTCGCTGTCTAGGAATGGTCTGCCGAACAGGAAGAGCGACAGGTGTCTGATAACCTTCCCTGCAGAAGCAAAGGACTAAAGGTCAGAGGGGTCATGATGACAGGGAAAACACCCTGAGAGGAAGGTCACATTCACCATTAATCCTGACCGGTCTAAAGCATCTTACCGCTCACAGTGTCCCTGTAGAGCTGGATGAAGTGACTGAAAATGTCTTTGGGGAAAGTTTTCTCTTCAGGCAGACACTGAAGGAGCACCACCACCTCCACTTGGCCCACAGCATGCATCCCCTTTGTTGTCACACACCAGCACTTCCTGTTTACATCTGATCACACATTTATGAGAAATTATTTTTATTTTTTTATGATTAGGGATTCTATAACAGCATTAAAATATATTTTTATTTTTCAATTTAGAGTGTTAGAAAAAGAGACCAAGTACATACAGTTCACAAGCTTGACCATAGCAAGAAGGTTGGCATTTAGAACAAACACAAGTGGCTTGGCCCGACTGTTTTCCAGCTCCTGAAAAAGCAGCATCTCAGACGGTTTCTCCTCCACAGTGTAGTCTGAGTGTGAAAGAAAAAAAATATAACACAGCTTAACTTATTTCAACATGAGTAAAATTAAAAAGGTCATAATGGAACCAAACAACCAACTTTTAAGAGTTAAGGAGGGTTTACGATGAAAAAAGTAATTTCCCTAGAAAGGGATAAATAAGAAGAGCAAACTTGTAAAATAAATAATGCAATAAAATCTATAAGTCGATGAAATGTGGAAAAAAGCCTGATTTGTAATAATTTACTTCTAAATATTTGCAATATTTTGCAGTTTTTAATCTAGTTAGCTAATAGAAAAAATATATATTTGGAAATAAAGTTGTCCTATGCATTTATTAAGCATAGACAAAATGCGGTAATCCAATTAATTAATGCTAAATACATTTAATTATCTAATCTTCTGATTTCACAAGCGAACACTGGTCATGTGATCAGCAGTTGTTTGCTCTGTCTTGACCAGCACACTACATTATACAACATCATGTTATTGCTAAATCTTTTTACATTTGTGGCTAAAAATTTTAATAAAATGATATAATTATATGCTACGAAATTTATTTAAAAAAGTCAAAACGATTCTATTACTTCCCATCATTACAGTATCAGTTGTTACACCAACTCATAAATATAGCAACTCTGCCAAGTTATTTCCTTATTTTGCAGTGTAATTATTTTGTATAATAAATACCGATTATGTTAGTAAACGCCCTTTGAAGTTAGTTGCACAATGCATTTGACAGAAGGGAGGAAAGAAAAATTAAAGAATATTTAAACCAAAAGCCTATCACGAAATACTTTCCATAACCCTATCAAAGTATGAGTTGGAAATGTCATTTTATTGTAGAAAACTTGTTGTCTACACTTAGCAGCTAGACTGCATTCCTTCAAAACTTGTTTTACTAAATTATCATTTAGTAAATGTTTATTTATTATAGCTTTTTTTAGTTTTGTGCTATTTGAATAACTATGTGAATTTATCCTTTCCTTTAATAAGAGGGTACCTAAACTTTCAAGCACAACTGTATATATTTGAGCATGTTTTAAAAAAAAAATCAAAAGATTTCAAACTAGTGCAGCCATTTCTTTTAGTGGTACATTTATATTTTTTTATCAACCCTGGAAAGAGAACAGATCAGACAAATTAACACAAACTCAAACTTAGTGGTACGTCCAAAGCTCTGACTAGGTCTCTAATTATTCATCCAGTGGTTTAACATGAAACACTTTTAACAGCATGATTTAAAAGTCATATGCTATGATGGGTAGTTAAAGAAAAGGGATACAAATAGAAAAAGCCTAAATTTGTCTTTTATACATACACCTTCGTTTTTAACAACAAACCTACTATAAAGATATGGATGGGTGGCGAGAGCTTGTTACAAAAACTATCTAATGAAGGATAAACTGATTTGTAGGCTGAGGAGGTTTCAGGATGTTCTGCAATTGCTGTTTTACTTTTACTCCCTTTGGTCTTTGTAAGATGCAGACATGCAGCTTTACATCAAGCCAAACATTTTTGATTTTCCTTGGTTTACACAAAGCTCACCCATATATTATTCCCTCCAAAGATTGATCTCCCTGCAAGGTGTGAAACAAAGAGCTGCTATAACCTCACCTCCTTTGACTCCAGTAGAAGTGAGGATGGGTGGAAGGCCATCTAAGGGGATGAGGTTGGCAGAGCTGCTCACTAAGGCTGTGGGGCCCCAACCATGAGGTCCACAGGCCTCCTAGAGTCACAGTATAGGAGAAGAGTACCATACATCTATAAATTTTCCACTGCCAAAAAAAAAAACTTGGATCTGGTAAATGCAGTGGAATGTAAAACTATTCAAACCCCTTTCAGTTTTTCCTCATTTTATGAAAATGAACTTCAATAACTTTGTTACTTACTTTAAAAAGTAGAAGGAACTAATGTCTTTCTTTATTAAATTTTTCTGTTTTTATGAATTGAAACCTTAAAAAAGTATATCTGCATTTGTAAAGATCTACTTTTAGTCTGATAGCTCCAAAACAAATTCTGTGCAGGCGGTAAAGTAATTACAAAAACACAATGAAGTTGTGCTGAAATACAGCGCGTCTGTAAAAGAACATTGTTAAACAAAACATGTTATGAATGCACAGATAATAATCTCAGAAGTTGTTGACAGGAAAACTACTCGGCAAAAATTCTTGAATTAAGTGTATTTTCCCTTATTTTGAGCAGGTAAATATGATGATTATGGAATGTAATTAGTATTTTTACTCTTAAAATAAGCTACCGTAATTATATGCACTTTAAATGAGACAATGTAATTTTTTTTCTTATTTTAAACGTAAATTGCTTTGTTCCATTGGCAAAGTGTCTCACTTACATCCTCGATTCAAGAAAAAAATATATACATTTTTTAAGAATAAAGTGCAGTGTAGAAGTCATGCAATCCAAACATTTGTCGATATGCATGAACGAGGATGAACAAAGCCAATCCTCAACAGGAAGTCAAAAGAAGAAGGTACAGGGCATGTAGGAAACACGGCAAACACACTGAGAAATGGCCTCCGATTGTGGAACCAAAAGGTTTTGGGCAATCATCCCCACCTTGAAACACGGTCGTGGCACCATCATGCTGTGGGAGTTAGTTCCGAGTGAAAACTGGTGGCAAGAGTGGAGTTACAGCTAAATACAGGACAATCCTAAAACAAAAGGTTTTAGAGGTTGGGGAGATTTTTTTTTTAATGGAGAGGAGGTCCACCTTCCAGTGTGCTAAATATTCTGCTAAAGTAAAATGTCTGAAATTAGCCTGTGTATCTGGGCTTCTTTTTTGATATTTTAAACCCACATTTATTGTTGTCCTCTGTGGTTTTACGGCTCTTCTGATCTGTGGGGAACCAGCTGGACTTCTAGCAGGCTCGCCCATCATTCGCCTCATCAGAGGTGAGAAGGTGGGTCCTCTCACCGGTGTGGTTGGAGCTGATTCGGACTGCTGGCTGCTGAGGATTTCATCTGCAAACCACACCCTCCTTTTACCTCTCGGAGGAGTCCCTGCAGGTAAAGATGGAGTAATTTGTTTTATGTTAACATATGTAGTACACAGAGAAAAATGAATGTTTTACTTACTCCTGATGAGGGCTGAATGGCAGGACACACAAACCCGCCCTTCCTTTCCATCCAGATGTGTTAGTCTAAACTTCAGATTGGAGCAAAGTGCACAAAAAACCTGCCAATGTACACACATGCATAGCAACATCATAGCTCACAAAACTGTTTCCCCTCAGACTTTGGAGATGTTCAGCTACCTAATAATGAAACTGCCCTCACCTTGCCACAGGCACGGCAGTGGTGCCTTCTCTTGGTAAATGTAAACTTGGTCCCACACTTCATGCAGACCTGCGCTTCAGCATCAGGAACCCAAACTGGAGCAACCTCTCCCAGGACGTCGCCTTGATCCTCAGACAGAACACCAGAGGAGCTCATCTGGGATTCATTATCAGGATCCACGGGAGGGTCTACATTCTTCCGCTTTGCTTCTATTCCACTTGTTGTGTGTATATTACTACCCTCCTCATCTATTGCTTCTGACCTGGCCTTCTTGAACTCCTTGGTCTTAATGCATGGTGCGTCCTGTGAAATGTCTGCTGCAGCTTCATCTAGGCTGCAGAAATGCTCTGGCTGCTCCAAACTACTTTCCTCCCTTTCCTTCTCCTCAATAACAGACTCCTCTTTTGACAGCAGAACTTGAGGCTGAATGCCTTCCACCTGACCTTCCTCTTCTGGCCAAGCGGGATTGGCAGGTGTCAAAACCAGGGTGCTGGAGGGGTCGCTGTCACCCCATTTGGAGATGGTGGTCACAGTGCAGCTACCTTCCTCCAGCTGGGACTGTGAAGCTGCTTTAGTTGGATGCTCCGGGGGGGTTTGCCCAGATTGGCCTCGAAATGTTGCATGTGAGGAGGCTTTGGAAGGAGAATGCGGTTGGAGTTGACTAGAGCCCAGTCCAGGTTTGGTCATGTCTCCATCTTTGAGGACCAGAAGGCAGGGTCTGCTCAGCCACTGCTGCTTGGAGACCTGGAGAGATGGGTTGTCTCCTTCATCTGTGCAGACAAATAGGGAGGCATACACATCTTTGTCTCTGACAGATCGTATTAAGTGCGACAGTGGCATACCTGGTGAAGTTTGTGAAGAAAAGTGTGAAGAAAATTGAACTCTGTTTTGCGTTTTAATAAAAAACTTTAGTGTCAAACCCTATTTCAAAAAATACCTTACTGCAATTACAGCAGCAGATTCTTTTGGACATCCCCCTTCCAGATCCAGATTGCTAAAGAGTGAATTGTTTTAGACATTTTTACTTAGTAAAAAAAGGACAAGTTATATATTCTGCCCAGGATTTTACCTTTGTTGTAACAGGACAACTACAACTTGCCTTTCCCTCTTTTCCATATATAAAAAATAAACGATTAAACATTTTGAAGAAAACCCATCCATCTCCTTTCAAAAACAATATGACAGCTGAGCATGATATTTCTGTTAAAGATGAAGGGAGCATATTGACCTAGACTTCTGGACATTCATGATTCCCACTGTGACATCTTGTCTGATGTGGTTTGATTACCATGTCCAATTAAAAATATATCCTCATGTACTTCCCCCATTGAACTAAAACCATCAAACGTAAATAAATAAATTAATTAATAAAATGCCATCTTCATCATTATGTCTTTAACAAGTGTTTAAAGGCATAGCAAATCAATAAACATTTTAACTTTAAAGAAAAAAAAAATCTTATTACGGTATTTAGCTTTTTAGTAACTAAGCAAAGTCAGTAAAAGTTCAGTCTCATTTCATGTGATTTTATATATATATTTTTTTCATTTAGTATGTATATGAATAATAATGTTCATTTTAAGAAGTAGATTTTAGTTTCCTCCTCTATAGCTTCAATTTAATGGCTTTATTAAATTTCAGAAAAGCTGCAAATGTAATTGTGATCTAATAGGCTACAGTAAACCCCAGAGGATTAATGGATGTCTGGGAGCGTCCGCAGGTAAATAAACGACAAACGCTGCAGTTCAAACTGCATTGCAGCTTCAATGAAAGGAGGAAAAAAAAGAGGAGGGGGGGTCTGGGTGTTTTCGCTCCTGGTGCAAGCAGAAAAAAAAAATCGTGAAAAGACTTAGTGAAAGCGGCAGCGGGCTGGCCGCGCGCTCTCCTATCGGGACGGTGACGCAGTCAGCACACACGTGCACAAGTGATTTAACCCGCAGGGGGGGGTATCAACACCGGCCGGCCGGCTGGCGGTAATGCGACATCCCCTCGGTTACATAATATCCATCCGGACAGATATGTGCGGAGAAAACGCGTGTTTGAAATGATGTGTCAGCGTTTTGTTCCATCATCCTGGAACATGAAACTGGACCAGCCTGCTTTAATGCATGCATGCATGCAGCTCCTTACCCTCAGTCACTTCCCCTAAAAGGCTTTCATTCTCGTCATCCCGGGCAGAGAAGAACTTCAGCATCTTATCCTGTTACATCTGAGTGCAGAGGAAGGAAGCAGCAGTGGCTTTCCTAAAAGCAAAGAGATGATTCCTGCCCCTGTCTCTCCAACCCCCCCTCTTGAGACCCCCCTCCCGAGTGTCTTTCTCTGCAGCTCTTTGAAGAAAATCAAGAGGTGTGCAGAATCGTCCCTCCTCGGTTCGCCTTCCAAACAGCCTGCAGGACACTGAGCAAGCCAAGATAGTGGAGTATTGATGCCAGCCTTATGCAGGAGCTGTCATGCTTTTACAGCAAGTCAGCAAAATACAAAGGTGATTCAACTCCGAGCATTCAATCTTAAAATGAGGTTTATAAAATCTCTACAAAGACCATGTAAAAAAAAGAAAAAAGAAAAATGTTCATCCCATTTATTTATCCATGAACACAAACATGTATTAAGACTGAGTGTCAAGCGTGTAAACCTCATTAAGACAAACATTAAGGTGTTGAGATTACACCACAAAACCATGTTTTCCACATGCTAACCGGACTCATTGGATAACTGTAAAGTAGAAAAAAAGTCTTTAGGGTCGTTGCAAATAAAAGGCGATTTTTTTTCTGGACAACATAAACACACAGGGAGGTTCCTGCTTCTTCTCATCCAGCCCATCAGCTCATCAACGCCTCGCTTAGTTTGCCTCGTTCTTTGAAGCTTCATCAAAGTTCTCCACCAGATCTACAACAAAGGGAAAAAAGTGTTGTTAGCTTTGAGGCTACTTTCTTGGCCGTAGTATTCCCACCATTTCAAAAATGTTTATTTTTTCAGAAGTTGGAGCCACAGCATTTTTTCATGAAGCAAAAATATACATTTTAGTGATCAGTCTCCTTCACCGTTTGCTGTGTCCAATGCAAGCTGTTTAGCCATCCTTGCAAACGATCCGTCCTGCAGAGCGATGGATCTCTGCAGCTCCTATAGAGCTGTCATGGGCCCTTGATACTGTTTTACACCTTAGCATTGCTTTAACTTCCTATGAAACTTTCTCCCTGATCTGTCTGCTGAGTTTTTGAGTCTTCACAGTCAGAAGCCTTCACATAACTGCTGTATCTTTACTGAAATGTCAATCGAAACACAGACTTCAACCTTTATTTGAATTTAAAAGGCAGTTGGTTGCAGTAGATTTTATAGAGTGGGCTCAATACAAATGCAGCACAGATTTTTTTATGCAATTTTTTTCAATCTTGAGCTACTATATCAATCAAGTGAACCTTATGGTGATAAAACATGAAAAAAGTTCAGAAGCGTATGTGAGACAAATTCAAATGAGAACGCTCACACTGGTTTACACAGTCTTTATAAAACGTTGGCGTTTTTAAAGCCCATACCTGGGACATCATCATCCTCCTCTTCTTCAATGTCTTCTGGTTTTGGAGCCTTGCCATCTAGAGCTGAGAGAAAAATCAAGATAAAAACAAGGATTCCTAAAAGCACATAATCTAAATCAGTAACCAGATAGTTATTTTGCAGCAATGGAGGAGGCTGTAGAAGGATTAATTTAAGAGGTGCAACAATTTTAAGCAGTTCCAGAAAAACCAAGCAAGATAATGCATATCTTAAACCACCCATTTTAATCTAAACAGCATCTCTCCATCTATAGCTTTCATAAAAAAAAAAAAAAGAATGTTGATTCAAATTTAATTCATTCATGAGCTAAATATAAACTTTTGCAACATTGCACACTGTAATGAACAGGTTTATATACTATTTGATTGGGGAATCATTGGGGGGTAAAGTAGGATGCATTCCTGCTCTGATTGCTAATAATGCACTGGGTCAATCCTATACGCATCTAAATAAACTTATTGCTCAATAAAAGCATATTTTTTTTTAAACACTGAAGGTCACAGAGTCGAGGATGTGAAAGTGAGCACTGCAGTTTTCAGCAACACTCTTTTATGACATTGTTCCATCCCCCATTCTGTCTGTGAAACAAGCTGGAGACCTTCTATTCAGAATAGAATGCCATTAACATGAACAGAAAAAAAAACAAAAAAAAAAACGGATGACTGCCTGCACATCAAATGTCTGTTATACAAAAACAAAACAACTATTCCAGTGATAAAGGTCTTGCTTAGTGTGTAATACACTTGTTATAAGGACATTAAGATCTGTTCGAAATAACATCTGTTATTAACTTGGAGGGCTGATCTTAATTTCTTGACCCAACCATCCCAGCTCCCTCCATGCATGAAGAAGGTCTTTATGATATAAATGAAGAACTGCACCACTTCCTGTCTTCTCTCTCTCCAGAACAATGGTGGAAATTCTTGCAAGGGTTTTGGATAAAATGATACAACAGATAAAGAAGTGAGTTATCTATGTAGTCACTAATTACACATGTGTACAGCAAATCTATGTAAAAACTCCACACCTCCACACCTCATGCTAATAAAACAAACAAAATAAAACAGCTAAAAAAGGAAGCGATTTTTTTTGTAGATCCACACTAACAGCTGTAGACAGGACTTATCCACCTGAGCTGCACCCACCTTGGCGGGGGAAGTGTTCAGCCAGCTTGCGCAGGCTGCTGAGGCTGTCCGCTCCCAGCTGGCTGAGGATGCCAGGAAGCATCTCTGTGAGCTGCTTGGTCTCAGCGTGGCCCGTGATGGCAAAAGTGTTGGCGGACAGAGACGCCTGAACCTTGGGGTTGTTAAAGTGGATCACAGTCCCATCGTCCTTGATCATGTTCACCTTGAGGGGAGGAAGGATGAATTAAGTTGGAAGGAGAAAAAAAATTGCATGGGTCATTGTAACATATAAAACTGCTCGATTTATTGCTGGTACCTCCTCGATTCCAGCTATGCTGTTGACAACTAACTTCTTAAGTGAACTCTGGAGTTTTTTGTCATCTGCGGATGCGGTTCTGTGCACCACCTTCTTCTTCCTGCGAGCTGAGCCCTGAAAACAAAACACAATAAACTCTTTAAGGATAAAAAAAAATGTGCAAAAGAGCATAAAAACAGCAGAAACAAAAAAAAAAAAAATCAATCTTTTTGACATATTTTGGTGTCTAAAAATGAAAGATAATTGGAATTCCACCACTATTTTTAGTGCATAATTGTGAGGTGAAAGGAAATATATACATGGTTTTGAAAAATATGAATCTGACGCCCTTAACTAAAATATATTACAAAAATCAGCAGCTTTAGATGTATTATATATATATATATAGTAAATAGAGCCAACTTATGTAATTTGAGTTGTGATTTAGCGGTTCTGTTAAGTTCCCAGAGGCTTATTAATGTCATTAGAGAACAAACAGCATTAGAGATTAAGCAATGGGTGAGGTTCTAAATAAATGTGAGACTTTAAACAGTCGATCCAGCACTGCTCAGTCCATCATTTACAAACGATAAGAGTAGAGCATGACTGAAAACCTACCAGGACATGGCCGTCCACTTAAACTGGACAAGAAGAAAAAAAACAGAGATGCAGCCAAGAGGCCCATGGTGACTCTGAGGGAGCTGCAGAGAGTCTTAGCTCAGGTGGGAGAATCTGTTGACAGAAACACCATGAGTTGTGGGATCTAACCTTTGTAGAGAAAATAAAGATAAAAAAAAGCCACTGTTGATCAAACAGTTAAAGAAGCCATATCTCCAGTTTGCCACATCCAGAGTAGGAGCTAAACTAACACGAGGGAGAATGTCTTATATTAAATAAGACTTTCCTGATGAAAACACCACTGCAACAAGCTAACGTGGTGGAAGCATCATCCTCTGTGATGATTTTCAGCAACAGGAACAAAGAAGATGGTCTCAGTTAATAGATTAGCTAATAAAGGCCAATCCTGAAACCAAAAAGACTTCTAAAGATTTCTGATTAAAGGGGAGATTCCCTGTCAAACAGAAGAATGTCTTTAACATGAGAGTTACAGTAGAGGGGATTAGATATAAGGTATATTTCTATGTTAGAATAGTCCAATCAAATTGCAGACCTAGATCCAACAGAGATTATGTAACAGATTGTAGCTGTTCTTTTTCCAATCTACCTGAACAGAGCTCAGTCTCAGTCTTAAAATGTGGAAACCTGGTAGAGACTAATTCTGCAGCTTTAACTACAGCGAACCATGTTTCCTTTTCCTTCTACTTCCCAATTATGCAGTACTTGGACTTCGTTTAATCCAGAAAAAAACTCAATAAGGTATTTACAATGTTGCTGTTGTGACATAATGACAGAAAAAAAGTTTCACTTCTTTAATGGATAGACTACTGTGTTCCTGGAACTGGAGAGTCTGGGCCATTAAAAGTAGCCTTTATTGCTTTTTTTTGGGAATACATTTGTAACATGTCATCATTGCCATCTTTCCAATGTGGTCAAGAACGAACCTCATAACTTAAAGAATAGCTGTGGTGAGCACAGATGAAAGTTGAAACCCCTTGAAATGCGTGTTTTTTCATTTTGTTTTTAACAGATATTCAACTACTTTTAATATAAAAAACAAAAAAATTCACACTTTGGTGTGATCGATGTTTCCACACTTCCTCTTGCAAATATTTCTACAGAAGTTTCGCTTTAATTCAGGAAACAGGAAGAAAGAAAATAAGATTTAAGAGAAGAAAGAAAAAAAAAAAAAGAAAAGAAATGACAGAAGCAGAGGCATAGCCAGAAAATTTTAATAGGGGTGGCCAGTCAAAAACCAATGTACACTGAGGGGTGGCCAAAAGCGAATAGGCGCCAGAACCTCAGGGTCAATCTAAACCGGAACGAGTAAAACATCCATATTTTCTAAATATGACTAACTTTACTTTCCTACAGCCTTTGCTAACAAATAGACGCGTATATTTAAACATTCATTCTGTCTAAATAAAAGGTTTAGTGGTCAAAATTTCTGGGGCGAACATCTTTTCCATTGTCAATACTTACCTACTATTATCAAAAATTGTTCTTTATAAAATTAATATTTACATGGACTAATATCTATATTAAGTTATTATTAAAGTAATTACTTATACATGATTTCACTGAAGACTCCTAGATGACTTGCAGAGACACATAATTTTCTCTTTACCCCATATAACACATAATGTAGTTCTGAAGAGAGCATGAATTCTGTATGTATTACCTTTAATGTTAGTATTTTGATATGCATAATTAACCACAGCTTTTGAGTTGTCAAGTAATTGCTAATAAAGGAAAAATGTTAATGTTTAATAAGTTTTAATATTCTCCTTGAGAGTATTACTGCTGCCACCATCTGTATTGGTGGGGGTGGCCAATGATTGGCTAAGGGTGGCCATGACAAGCTCTGGCCCCCCATCTAGCTCTGCCCCTGGAAAGAAGGATGAATGATGGAAAGTCAGACATTGAATGAAGCAAAGTGAGATGCAAAAAGGGATAAATGAAGGAGCAGCACAAAATGGGAAGGGGATAGTGATGAAGGGCGAAGGAAGGAAGGAAGGAAGGAAGGAAGGAAGGAAAAATGGAAGGAAGGAAGAAAAAATGGAAGGGAGAGAAGACAAGAAAGAAAGATGGTGAAAGATGCAAGTAATGATTGAATAAATGACACCAAATTACAAAGAGATGCGATAAAGGAAAAACAAAGAAAGAAACAATGAAGAGCACAGGGTTAGTGGGAGACAGCAGGAGGAAGAAGGAAAGAAACAAAAGATAGAGGTATGGGAAAAGGACATAAGAAAGGATGGGATTAAGGAAAGGAATAAGGAAAGTAATGATAAAGACTTAAAAATACCTTAATTTATCCGTACTTACCCAATATATATGTAATAACATACTTTCTTTAAGTGTAGGACTTTCAGACTTTTTTTCCCACGTCTTGCGAAATCAAAAACAATAAACCAACTAAAGGTCAGTGTGTATTGGACAGCTTACCTTTCCTCCTATCCGCACCTGAGCTTGAAGCTTAGCCAGTTTCTCCTGATTCATGCTGTCACCTATCAGGACAAACACCAGACATCAGCAGCTGTCTCTATAGGCTGCAACATTAGCCAGACATTTAGGGAACATCGTAGCAATAAAAACAATCTATAACAAGTGCACACAAGTAAATTAAGAAGCAGCTGATCCGATCAGCTGTTGATTAGTCAGTCTGCGTTTGTTTACCAGCTGCACAGATGAGCCTGAAACAAACAGCGCAGCCCTGCTCTCCTCTGAGCCCCAAACCTGGCAGTCTGCTCACACAGCAGCTCACACAGCAGCTGCTAAACCTGAACAAACCTGCTGAAGTCCCCGTTGGTAGCAGCACACAAGCATACAACAGTAGCTTTAGCATCTTCTTCGTTCCCGACCAGCAACAAGGGACTGTAATTGTGCTGCCACTTACTGGAGGTTTAATGTATTACAAAAACAAAAAAACACTGTCTAGCTGAAAAAAAAAAAAAGAATAATTAGGACAAATCAGAAGAGCCGAAAGGAACAGGAGAGAAGAGATAATTATTTCATGACTTAGAATAGGACACACAGGATTTAATAGGTCATTATTTTTAAAAGGGAAATATCAGACAGGGAAATGTGACTGTGGGGAAGATGAGAGAGTGGAACATGTTATTTTGAGTTGTAGGAAATATTGTTGATTTACTGCAAAAGGAATCAGGAAGTTGAGGATATCAGGTTATATTTGAGTTTTTGAAACAGATTCAATTGCATAACAGGATATAGTTTTTTTGTTTTATTTTGTTTTTGTCATGCACTCCACACTCCTTACCAGATGGTGGCGGTAATGCTCACCTAACATTTGCCAACCGCCAAAAAATAAAAATAAATAAAAATAAAAAATTACAAGAAGAAGAAGAAATGAATAATTAACTAGAATCATCCATGGTGATAATTTTTCTAGTTCATGTTTGATTAATTTATCCTAATATTGCCTTAATTCATGTTTTGATTTTGCAGTGTAACAGTTATTGTCCTTTGTTTGCAGTGTCAAAAGCATTTTTTATTTTGTCATAATAAAATCACTAACTAAACTGTATCTTATTCCGGATTTAATTTAATAAACAACACAGTCTAATCAACAAGAAGAGAAGGAAAGGGATATATTAGACTTAGAAAACTTTTACAGCTTTCCACACACTAAATGAACATTTCCATTCCATAAAGTGCAGCATTGATCAAAATTACAGCAGTGTGGGAGAAAAAAAAACATGGTGTAAAAGAACACATTGACATGGATGTTCAGAGCATTCATATATATGGTGCAAATATGCAGTATTTTTTGTTTGGTGATATCAGTGTGATGCAGAGTCTGTGACAAGATTTTGTTTTTTCCAGCAGTTCAACAATCTGATGGCAGTGGGGAAGAAAATGTTGCAGAATCTGCTGGTTGTGCATGGAATGCTGCGAAGCCTCTTCCCAGAAGGCCAGCAGGGAGAACAGTCCATAGTGGGGGTGTGAGGAGTTATTCATAATGTTATAAGCTCAGGATACGCAGCGTTGAGATGAAATATCTTTTATGCAGGGAAGAGGAGCCCCAATGATCCTTGGCAGTTCTAACCATTCTTCTCACTTTCTTCCAGTCTGAGGCGCTGCAGCCTCCACACCATTAAGTAAGACAGCTGGTCAGAACACTCTCTATGGTGCTTTTGTAGAAGGTGGTGAGGATGGGTGGGGGCAGGTGGGCTCTCCTCATCCTCCGCAGGAAGTACATATGATTTTGCACCATTTTGACGAATGAGGTGGTGTTTACAGTCCCCAGAAATTTGTTGCGTCTGACCACCTATTATATTTTATATTAAAAAGTGATTTATGAAGATCATGTCTGATGATTATCTTTTTGATAGATTCCTTTACCTAAGTCGTAGCTTTGTAAACCACCTTCGGCGCTCTTTTTCTTTAAGCTGCTTTTCTGACTTTTGCTCTCTTCAACCATGATATAGTGAAGCTGTTCCTCCATACATTAAAAAATGAGAAGAAGTAAATAAAAAAATGCAACAAAATAAACAAAAAAATTATGAGGGACTTAATTCATCCACCTTTTTTAATGTTTTCGACCCTGCCCTTAAATTTTATTGCAGATTTCAAGATAAACACACAGCCTACAGGTCCTTGGATAAAAATACCATGATGAGAGTTACACTGATGCATGCGAGACTAATGATGGATTATAAGCTAATGTATTGAGACCATCACACCAAAAATATGAAATGTATTGTCTAAGTTTAATGCTTGTCAATTGGAAAAATGTAATACATTAAATCATGAAAGTAACCATATTGTGAAAATATAGTAGATAGGTGAGAAGGGATTTACTCAGAGGCTTGATTAACCTCATAAATAGCACTGCCTATGATAACATAGAAACCACACTGTGTTTACTTTGTATGAGTTTATTTTATTACTGCATTAACAAGTGGGACCCTTTCACAGGTGTAAAATACAAAATAAAAGGTCAACTATCAACACCAATTTTTGTTCACTCTGCTGCAGCTAAAATAAATCACTTTTTGTAATTAAAATAAAGGAAAATTTTCACTTCCAAAATGTATTGATTAAACAAACTTGACCACTTAGATCAGCAGACATTTATTTTTGCTTTGTTTGGTTTCATGCAAGTATGGTACTCTGTTGCATTCATACATACCCATTACATGTCATTGTGTTACAATGAGTTTCTACACAAAAACATAGATATTAAATTTCCTGCAAACAATCCTCAAAAATATCCACATAGTTAAAAGCAGCTTATGCAACAAAGTAGAGATAATGATTCTCAGAGATCTGTTAATGCCACCTTGTTTAGGGAAGAACGCCACTGTCGTCTGTGTAGTCACTCAATAATGTTTTAATTCTGACACATCATTTCAATTAAAGGCTCCCGATCAGGACTCAGGTGATGAATTGGATGGTAGTGTCTGGAAGGGGCTGTCTGCTGTAGCGGAGGCAGTCAGATTTGTTCATCTCCCCGGAGCTGCCGAGCGTGCTGCGCTGCCAGCGGTGGAAGGTGTGAAGCTGTGAGCCCCAGCAGCTGTGAAACAACATGAAGATTTTCCTCAGAACAGCCTTTCTCAATAGGATGTAGACCCAGGGGTCCAAGATCTGATTCCACGTGGCCATCCGTACCATTGTCAACAGACTGAAGCTGGAGGATTCCTCTTTAGCTCTTGTGCTCAGAATGATGACATGGACCTGCAACATAAATATGGAACACAGAATAATAAAACTAGTGAAATACTAAGGCTACAAAGTTGAAGAAATGTGTGTTTCTTCGTCAGTTATTTTCTAGAAAAACAAAACAATCCATTTTATTATTGCAAGAAAAAGGTTTCATGTGAAACTTGCATAGTCGTTTTTGTCTTATGCACGAAATAGTCTGTATTTTCAGTTAAACTAAAATATTTAAGCACAAATAATAGGGTTGAGGTCTTGGTTATTCCACAAGCTGTATTGTCAATTCTAAAACAGGCTTCAATTTGTGTTCAGGGTTATTACCCAACTATATGAAAGTTTTACAAGAAAAGAGACTAGTCAGAAATAACCCAGTAACCAGTAAAGATGAAGAAAATCATACACTAAAATAATACTAGAATGCTTCTATCCATGTCCACAGTGGAACAAGTTATTATCATGACGTAGGTTTGCCAACAAAAGAAAATCTCACATAAAAAAGCCTCACCTTTAAGAAGAATCAACATTTTTTGCTACCTACACGTATAAACCAACTCCTTTCTTTTTTCAATGACTTTATTTATAGTTATTTTCTCTCGCAATACCATAAAAAAAGTCAACAACAAAAAAAGAACATCAACCAAAACAAACAAAAAATCTATCTGTTACAAATGTTTTATGGTCAGATGAGAAGAACACTGAGCTATTTCAACAATATGGTAAAATAATTTCTGCAGGAGTCACAGTGAGATTTTGAAAAGTCACAACACTTTACTGTCAAACAGTATCATAATAAGGGTATCTTTGCTGCCACTAACAACGGCTTTATTACACCACCAAAGTTGATGGAATAACGAGGGGATCCAGATATGGGACTTGATTCCAATCATTGGTTAAACAGTGGAAAATTGGACACAGCTAGGTGTATCAGTAGGGCAATGATCCAAAACACATCAAAAACAATAATTTTTTTTGGATTCATACTGATGCATTCATTTATAGAAACAGGTTTGCAAATGTTTAAAGAAAAAAAAACTATAAAGATAAATATTTATTTCATTGCACTGGGTTTTTAATGTGAAGCAGGTGTAAAGCAGCACTGTGTGACCAATTTTCATCTAATTCTTGAAACCTTTTGTGCTAAAGAATAAATAACTAATTAAGCCTCTGGAAATGGCACATGTAAAATAATGGATTCCTTCACAGAGAGTCTCCCAAGTAAGGATGCACTGAGAGGAAGGGCTTACCAGTAATGGCCCCCAGCACACGCAGGACACCAGCATGATAGCCAGGAGCTGGCAGATCATCTCCAAGTGGTAGGATGTTCCCCTGCAGCCGTGTTTGTGCCGCAGTCTGCCTTGCAGCAGGGCACAGCTTGCCAGAGTATTGCAAACAATGGAGAGCAGCAGTGCCAGCAAACCAAGAACAGAAAAGATCAGTGGCAACAGTATATCTAACCAGTCTTTGGGGTGTTCCATGTGAAAGAAACAAAAACTCCTGGAGCTCTGGACCTCATAGGGTCTCCTCAGCAGCAAAGGTAACAAAGCCACAATGGCAGCAAGCAGCCAGGTGAACCCAAGCAGCCTTCTAACGTGGTGGGAGGCCAACACTGTTGAGTGGAAGATAGGTTTAGTTACTCCGATAAAGCGCTCTACAGCCATGGCACTTGACAGAAACAAGGGACTGAGACCATAGAACACCATGCACACTCCAAAGATGCTGCACACGATGCCATGTGGATCGAAAGTGTCCCACTTCCTGTGAAAACGGTAAACGTGAAGTACCAGGGATCCATTGATGAGGTGACCCAGCAGGTCGGTGGTCACCAGGCTGCTGGCAAACAGCAGGAAGGATGCTTTGGACTTGATTCGATGGCGACTGTAGGATTTTATCAGAATGAAGAGAGCAAAGCTGTTGGAGAAAATACCCACAGTCATGGAGATGACGGACGCTGTCACAGACAGCTCCCTATGACAGAGGGTGTTGTTGGAGCCTCTGACCTCTGACCTGTATCGAGTTTCTGAGCTCTCATTGGACGACATCCCTTGCTACAATGTATGAAAAATATAGGGGGAAGAAAACAAACAAAAAAATAACTGACATGTTGCATTAGAGTTAAAAAGATATAATTTATGCAGTATTATTTTTCTGAGATTATGTTCTTTTAATGAAGATGAATGAAAATCTTTAAATAGTAAAATCTGCAAAGTAATTATTTTTTGATTGAATAATATTGTTAGATAAGTAATAATCAGTTTTTTTCAAGAGAGCTATTCTAATAACAGGTCTAAGCTTTGCTTTTGTTAAACACTTTAAAAAGTTAAATAAAGAAGGAGTTCTTACCTCCAGTTTTGTTGCCTCATGTGGTAAACAGCCACCCTAACTCTGTGCCTTCTGAGTCAGCAGAATAAAAAACGACATCTCACTTTGAAAGCCACACATTGGTGTTCCTTCTGCACTCAGGCAGGTGGAAAGCCTTAGTGAGAGCTCACAGCTGCTGCACAGGAGGCACCTCAGACTCAGATGCACCTTAGAATGTAAGATATCTGCTCTTGGAAGAGTGAGAGAGAAAGTGAGAGAGAGAGAGCGAGAGACCCGTGTCGTCAGTTTTTTTAGCCAGTAATCTGATTTATATCTCAGATGTGTTGCAGAATAACATATTGCACTGAAATCTCTAGTCACTGCATTTAAAACAAATACGCTTCATTAAAAATGCAAATCACCTTCCTGTTAACTTTGTGTCATGATGACCTGAAACCTGAGTTTATAGGCAGAAAAACACCTTATATATTCTGATGACTTTTCCTAGACTGACCCCAGCACTAGAAAACGTAAAATGTTATCCTTTTATCATCCCATAAAAGCTGTTCAGAAAAAAAGGTAAAATATGCTCTTTGGGTCATTTTGACCCAAGAGTCATGCTGCATTAAAATCCCAGTCACAGAGTCAAGTTACACACCGAAAAGATGTGAAAATGCTTTAGTTCTAAGATCTTCTCCATCAGGAAGCACTGCCTGCACACTGCCAGCCAACAGGTGTCACTGTAGATCAGCTGGTATAGAAATGCTGGAGCATGGAGAATCTCTTGTTGGATTGAATGGTAACCACAAAGACAAATTGGCAGCCATACAAAAGGTCTGGGAAGAGTGAATGGAATGGCTGACACACCTGTACAACCCAGGCTCTGACGTAACAGTGGATTGGCAGCTAGTTCCATTCCATATTTTATTTTCATACCTGTACTAGCATTAGTAATTTGTGACACACTAATTACTGATGCTAATCTCTTCTGTTCAAAGGTAGTAGACGGCCAGCAAGCCAGCCAAATATGTGGTTAAATTATGGGTGGCCAGCAATGCTAAATCCAGCTACTCTTGGAAGATGCAACTCCACACCTGAAATCCAGCCAGTGTAGGCCAAGAGAAAAACCAGGGGATATAGGCTGTGCTTGATTCTGTAGAGGGGGATCACAATGTCAGATGTGATAGTTTCTTCACCTCTTTCAAAGTACGACAGCGGCTCCTGAAAAGGGAGATCACCATGGTTGGCACTGTTTGAAAGAACAAGCTTGACCTGCACTGCTTGCATCAAAAGAGAGAGACATCCTCTCATCAAAGTTTGCCTTCACACCCACCACCACTCTGGTTTTCTATCTCCCAAAGAAAAACAAGTATATAGTACCTATGAGGACGTTGCAGACAAAACCTGACATTAGCAATAATTAGGCCAGGATGCTAACCCTCCTCTTAAATTACAACTGCAACAAAGGAGGTGTCCCTTCTACAGCTGCAGAGGGATAACTGTCCGCTGGTCCCTGGTCATCTTCCACAACATTGTTGATGCTCCCGCCTACAATGCCTTTGAGACATGAAATGAAATAAACTCTACATGGTTGCCTGGCAAGCTGAAGAGGAGAGGGTTCTTGAGTTATGTCGTATAGTTCATATGTACACATTTTTCCTCCATATTATCTTAATATTTCTTTTGTTGTTGTTATTGTTTACTGGCATGAAAAAATGCCAATTAAGATAAATAAAAATGCAATAAAAACTACCAATTGCACATTTTTGCTATCTAAGTAGTATACACATGCACAAGTAGTGTGCATAGTATAATAAACTGTAGGATATTATAATAATCTTACAGAATAGATTTGGTGTCATAGTATTAGTCTCATCTGCGCGGTTGTTCGTTACCGTTCATCAGATCCAACTGGTTCCTGCTGCTGTTTATGCTGCCTGTTTGCCTGCCATCGGTGCCAGATTATTCAAGCTATGTGTGAGAGTAACTCTAGCATTCTTTTAAATTCTAATTTTCTGATCTTGACCTGTTTCTGCTTTTGGGACTTGCAAGTTTTGCTTTGCCCCTGTATTGCTCAGCTAGTCTGATCTGTTCTGGACAGATTTCTGTATTCTGCCGTCTTACCGAACTTGTACCTCTCTTCTGACCTCGGCTTGGATCCTACCTTGGATCCTAACCTACCATCCTGCTACCTCCTTGGGTCTCTGATCTTCTGCTCTGGTCATCTGGTTCTACTACTACTTCGGCTTTGGTGGATACGGATACTTCTGCTCCTCGGCGTTGGCTGGCGTCTGCTCATTAGTCTGCTCAGCTCATCCCTCAGAACTCTGGGGGTTGCTCCTTTTTCAAGCTTTGGAGAAACCATCCTCCAAGAGTTTCTATCTCTTTAGAGTATCCAGTGAACCCGCCCCAGCTGACGAGCAGCTGCACATTTACGTTTTCATAAACGCTTGTTTGGAAATCACCCTGATCTGTCAGCTTGAGTTCAGAGTCACACGTTCTAAGCTCCTGACATTTGGTGTGTAAAATTCAATCAAGTTGGTTAAGTAAAGCTGTATCGTTATGAGCAAGAGGACTTATAGTGTATAGGGAATATTAGAACTGCAAGATGGCTAATGGATGTAAAGCTAGAGGCAGCAGCCGGGGGGAAATAACGGGGTTAATGTGACCTTTAATCCACTTACACTCTTGGCAAACAGGCTCATATGCATAGTTCTATGTTGCATGGATATAAGAGACCAAAAGGAAGTTTTGAATGAGATGAAAGTTATATCTAATTATATATTATTCAATGATCCATGTTGTGATCTATTTAATTATTTAATATTTTATTAGTATGGGTCTTTAAAGTTAAAATGGTTTTAAAAAAATGTCACTTATTTTTGGCCCCAAACTCAAATGATACGTATTTATGTCAAAAATATGGAGAATTACAATATATAGAACATTGGGCACAGTTCTACCAAGCCTGCTCTGAAGTAGGTCTGAAACTAATGCTGCTGGCTTGTTAAAGAAAAGCAAGAACAACAAAATAAAAAAAAAAATGGCATAGCAGGTTTACCTAAGGAAGGAAATGCTGTTTGCGCTTTAGTTTTTACTCAAAAGGTGTCAGAATTTACAAGATACAATAAATATATTGTAAAGTAAACCCAGACCTCAATATTCAGCGTTGCTGATGATTTAGTGATAGCTGCAGTATAAAAAGAGAATAAGAAAGAGCTTATGGGAACATGATTCAGTTTAAAAGAAACAATATGCAGGGAGAAAAATAATTGGTTTTGTTAAGATTTGGAAACCTGTTCCCTGAGCACTTTCATCAGAACTTTTCTTTGGTTTTCAGACTGGAGAATGTGCTGTCCTTCCTGGATCTGGCTTTTGGAACAAGGCAGACATAGCCACCAGAAAACATTGCTTCTCTGTCTGCCACTTCAATTTGTACTGGGAGTTCAGATAATGTTCCCCCTATTCAGACAAAAGTTTCCGATCGATGTGCTTGAACAGCTCACCTCGGTAGCTTGTGAGCTCAACATCATAATGAGCTGTTTTACATTGACTTTACAAATGAAAAAATAGCTGAATTTATTCAGAACATTACGCCAGTGGTGCTTAACGCCACAGCTTGACCATAGTATTTCAAAGCATTTGAAAATAACTTTTCTGATTTATAGCAACATCATCAGCATAGCAACACATCTGAATAAGCATTCTAATAGCTTGTTATAGGAACCATTTGGTTTAATGCACCTTCTAAAAAAACGTTCAATTTTACTTTCTTGTAAATTAGACACATATTTACTAATTCCAACAACTTTAGAAAAATAGACAAAATGTTCACTACAGTGCAGAAAAAAGGCATTGACCATATAGATTCTAATGTCTTCATGTCCATAGACATAGTCAAAATAGTCAACTTTATTTTAACACGTTATAGAGCAAACTAATTTTTCTTCTCACCTCTCCATTAGACACACTATACTGCCCATTCGGGGACTTGGACATTGTTGTGTTCAGTCGTTTGACGTCAGCAGCAGCACTCTGCTCTGCTTGTTGAAACTCCTCACACACCTTTTGAGGATTAACCTCATTTTCAGTGTGATTTTTTTTTTTCTTCGTTCAACCTCTAGGCAAGGATCACAGCAAAAAGCAGAAGTCACTTCAGCCGATATTATTGCTAATAGGGGAGAATCATTATGAAATTGCTCAAGTTCATTTTAATGTGGTATTTTATTATGTTTGAATGCAGTCCCTTTCATCAAATCTAACTGTCATGCATTAATGCACTTCACTCTGCTTCCCTCAAACTTGGAGGACTAATCCTACTTTTAACTGTGTAGAGTTCTGTATTTTTCTTAAGTGAAGCTCCACGATTCCAAATGAAAAGAATAACAGCCCAATTATGTTCTCATTCAAGGAGGGATTTCATGTATTAGTCATGCCTTAAAAAGAAGGTATGTAGCCTTCTTTTTATCATTCCCAAATGGCTATGTACTGTAATTTCTAGCTCAGCTGTAGTTATGCCGCATCCTCCAATTTGTTTTGCATTTCCTTTCAACTCACTACTATTTCCTAAACTCTAAAAATGTCATATGTCTTGAAATCATTTGCAATGCTCTATTAAACTGTGTGGCCCACCATGTGCTAATGTCAGTTAAGACCAAAGCTGAACATTTTGGCTTACATGAAAAACACAACATACATTTGAAAATTTGCACTGTACAACATCATGGACACATCATTCCCA